GCCCGGCTCACGTGGGCGGGCAGGAGCAGCTGAAGGTCCGCTCCGGAGCCCGGGCTGTCCTCTCGCGCGCGGCGCTGGCCCCGGGCGGCGGCGGCGGCGGCGGCGGCGGTGGCGGTGGCGGTGGCGGCGCCGCAGTGTGGGGGCGGGGCGGGGGCGGGCGAAGATCCCGGACCCGGGCCGCGGGGACCGGAAAACGCAGGGGGTGGGAGCCTCGGGGCCAGGGCCCGGGGCGTTTCGGGCGGGGGCGCCCAGGGTCGCCCCCTGCAGCAGCACCCACCCGCCTGCACACACTCACACGCACGCGGACACACTCACGCACACGCACCCCCGCTGGGCCGGTGCAGACGTGTCCTTGAAAGCTTCGCATCTGCACGGTGAAGGACGAGGCCTTGCCGAGGCTGCGGCTTGGGGTCTTCGGCCCCCACGTCCCAGTGTCCCGGGAGACCCCAAGCTTCAGAGCCGCAGGCGGCTTCGGGCCGTGTCCCGCCCTCACCCCAGCTCCCCTCCCCCAGGCCGCCCTGCCCTCCCTCCCCCTCGGCTCCGAAGGGGCTGGCCGGAGTCCAGGGCCCGCCCCCGGCCTCCCCCAGCCCCCCATCGCTGGGGCCCGCGGCCCTCGGGCTGCCAAACTGCATTTCGCTTTCCTGGAGCCTCCCTTCTTGGGGCACCCACTCCCTTCCCTCTCCCCCTACCCCCCCCAGCCCCTCTTATTTCCCCCTTTTCTCTCCATCCGTTCCGTCCTTCCTTCTCTCTCTACTGCAGAGCCAGTTGAGTAGGTGTTGGCGCCTTGGGTGGGGAGTGAGGGGCTTGCTGGTTCTCAGGGGCTCTCTTCCCCCCCCACTCCCCCCACCCCGGCTCGCGAAGGGGAGCCCCCTGTGGCTGCACCTTGACCCAAGATGGCGTCCTGCACCCAGCTGGGCAGCTCCGGCCTGCGTCAGGCGGGGAGGAAGGGCCCGGGGCCCTGAAGCCACACAACTCGCCCCCTCCCAAACCAGCAGGGACAGGAGGCTGCGGGAGAGGAGCCGGCCGCCCTGTGACCCAGCTTGCCCCTCGCTGCCGTGCCCAGAGACTGCCATCAGCATCCCTGGGGGACTGTTCCGTCTTCATGTTTCAGCTGGGGCTGCCAGCGGCTGAACCAGGCCTCCTGGGCTGGCGGGCTGTGAAGGGATCCTGGGATCAGGTGCTGCTCCGCTGTGCCTGCTCCCTCCCGGCAGATGTGACAGCTGCAGCCGAGGGAGCTTTTCTCCTTGGGCGATGCTTGGAGTGCTAAGACTGGCCTGTGGGATTTGGGGAGCCCAGCTGTCAGGCGGACCCTCCTTAGGCCATCCCCAGTGCTGGCCGGGGCTGGTCTCCTGGTTGGTTTCCTGAGCTTCCTGGGTTAGGAGGCTTGGGTTGTTAGGAGTTCTTGCTAGGTTTCTGGGACAAGGTGGTCCCCCTCTGCCTCCAGGTCCCACTGAGGCCCTGGTTGGGCTGTTTGACAGGCAACTCTGTGAAAAGTGTGAGTCTTGTGTGCGTGTGTGTGCATGTGTGCACATGTGCCGCACGCAGGCAGGGGCCCAGGCAAACCTGTGCAGCGGGTCTGGCACCTGCCTGCCTCCCTTCCCCGGGCCCCACTCCTCTGGGCCCTGGCTTCCTCTCCAGCTTCTTGTCCAGGTCCTTGGGCCTGTCTTCAGCTCCTCATCAAATGCACAGTTCCTGGCCCTGATGGACCGAGGCTCTCCTTGTCCTCCTTCCCAGGCTTACGGACCCGCAATAGGAAACCAGCCTTCGAAAAGGTGAATTCCTTCTCGAATTCAAGGAGTGTCAGTTTCACTGTGCAAGGGCTCCTCCCCTCCTCCCCCCACTCCCCAAGCACTGGAGAAGCAGAGGAGAGGACAACCACGGCCATGTGTCAGGGTGTCTGTGGACAAGATTCTTCTGTAGGGTGGGGGTTGGACTGCAGCTTGAAGGCCCATTCCAGCTTTTAAATTCTATGGCTCTGATTCCAGTGGTGGAGTTTCAGACCCAGGAAGGGGGGTGGGATGGTCTTATTTACACCACACAGGGATAATCAGGAAGGACTTCTCAGGAGAGGAGGTCTGAGTGAGAGCGGGGCCTCCTGAGGAGTGGGCCTTTGTAGGGAGCTGGTGGTGTGAAGGGTGGGGGCCCTTCAGGAAACAGGTTGGTCACATCTGACTCCACAAAGGGTGTAAAAGTTTAGCCTCTGGTTAAGCCCTCACATGTGTGTGTCCTTTTGTAGGTTTACGTGGGCATTTGCTGTGTGTGTGCACAATTTCTGAGATTTCCTCCCTGAGTCGAGTTTGCAGTGAGCGTCTGAGTTCATTGTGGATCTTCTTCAGGCTGAAACTCCAAACCTTCTCATCCTTTCTTGGTTTCTCTGGGGACCAGCCCTCATCCCAGAACCCACCCAGAGTTACCTCATTAGAACAAGAGATGCTCCTAGTTTCATGCCAGTGGTCCTCTGAAAAAGCCTACAAGGAAGACAGGACAAGCTATAAAATACTGGCCTGGGATGACCTGGCTGGGAAGAAGCAGGGCCAGAGCTGCCCTCTGGGGAGCTTAGACTGCCTCCTGCTCCAGCTCTCCTGGTCTGCTACACTCCGTGTCAATCTCGCCTCTTGGTTCATAGTCTCCACGGGACAGGACTCTTGCCCTGGCCACCTCTGGGTCCCCTTGGTCATTTTGTGGAGCTTCCAAGGTGTCTCCTGGATAGTGGGGAAACTTGCTGCACATCTGTGTTTGCATCCCCGTCCTCTCCCTAGCTGCACGGCTGGTGGCTGGCTGGGCTCTCTTCTTGCTTCTGCTCCGCCTTCCCCAAATAGTCACTGCCTACTTAGGCTCCTTAGGCTCAAGCCCCCCTGAAAAACCCAGATTCTTTTTCAGCGTGAGCCAGGACTCCATCAAGGCTCCTGTTTTTTTGGGAGCCAGATAGAAAGGGGACTCTGAGAGCAGTGTTGCCAGCTCTCTAATGGGTGAGTTAAAAATAGACCACCCTCTCCCCATCCTCTGCCTGAAATGTTACCATTAGAATCCAAGCCCTAGAATTTAGGGTTGAAAGACAACTTGAAGCTCTGAGAGCACTTGGAGCTGGGTTGGGGGCTGTTTGGGTGGGGAGCCAGACCCGGTTTCTTCCAGGGTTGGCAGCACTACCCAGAGCCCGAGGCCAGAAGGGCCAACTGCCTGCCCATCACATGCTCCCCTCACTTAGCACTTCCTGCCACCTTCTGCTGTCTTGATCCTGGGGTCCCTGTCTTGGTGCCCGGGTCCCCTTGCCTGGTCTCATGCCCCACTGATAGTTAAGTGTCTCTGGCCTTCTGCTTGGAAACAGGCAACAGTCAGGACCAAGGAATGGCCTGTAGGAATTGTTTCCACTTCCCTTTTGGTGTTTAATGGAGAGTAGCGTGCTTGGAGGCTGGGCATCTCTGTGGGCCTGTGTGCTTTGCTGCTGCTGAGCAGGGCTTTAGTAGTAAACCAAAAGTGCCAGATTCCTTTCCACTCAAATCTTAAAGGCTCATTTTCAGGCATTTCTCTCTTTGACTCTTTTTCCTAAAAAAACAAAACAAAAACAACAAACAACCTACCAGATCTGAGATTCATGCAGTGTCAGAGATTTGCGTGTGTGTCCCTTGGCTAAGTATGTGGGCAAGACAGGGTGTGGTGCACGTGTGTCTCTGTGCATATTTCTGTGTACGCGGTGTGCAGCTGCGTGGGGACAGAGACTTGCTTTGACATGAGCCTGTCTGAGGCAGCCCAAGTGAGGGCCCTGGAGTCAGAGGGAACTGCATTCAGCTTCCAACAAGCGCAATTTCTTCGACCCTCCGTTTCCTCACCTATGACATGGAAATGAGACCAGGCTCTACGCATAGGTTGTTGGAAGGATTAAACGAGATAATGCCCATCGCCCTTGGCCGAGCGCAGGCGCTCAGCATGACTATCGTCATCATCAGGGTAGTTTGCGTGGCTTGGTGCTGCAGGACTCTGGGAAGTCTTGTCCACCTTCCCGCCTCTGTGTGCAAAATCTTGGACAGATGAGGAAAGTGCTGGTTCTGATTGAAACGTCTTCAGAGGTGGGAGGCTCCTCAGCACCATTTAGCAATCCTTCCAGAGTTTAGCAGATCACAGTCAACAGGTTGTCTTTGTATCCACCTATAGTCCCTCACGCTGGTTTCAGCTCTTTATTCAGATTCTGTCCCAAGTGCAGCCTGTTTACTTCCATGTCCCAGAGACTTGCTGAGCATTTCCTGTGGGCCAGACCCTGTGCTGGGCTTTGAGAGGTTACGTGGTGAGTTTAGGGTGTGCCCAGCTAATTAGTGGCCACAGACCAAGGTCGAAGGAGAGGAAGACACAAAACACTCAAAGGACAGTGAGGTGACAACCAACTGGAGAGATCAGGGAAGACTTCTTGGAGGAGGTGGCACCTGTGATGAGCCTCTGAGCACAGAGATGGGGCTTCCTGACCAAGGAGAGGAAGCCAGGCTGCATGGGAAAAGGTGGCTGGAGTGTGGCGGAGACTCTGGGGCAGTGAGTGGGGGCCTCCATGTGCTGGAGGCCAGCCTGAGGCCCCATGCTGATTTGAGGGGAGTGGGCCCCTGGGCCCTAGCGCCGGCGTGGCCCGTGGAGACTCACTTCGAACTTCCCTGCTTGTGGCTCTGCAGGGTGGTGGAGAAGAGCGAGGAACGAAAGGGAGGGAGGGGAAGGGGCCAGCTGAGCTCGTTTGGTGTAGGATTCTTGATGATTCCTTTATGTTCTGTAGACTGAAGCTTAAGAGCTCAGACTCAGGGAAACAGAGCAGGGTTTAAATTATAGCAACCCCGGGGTGTCGCGGCAATTAAGGGGAACACCAGCAGGGCTGTATCTCTCTCAGTGATGGCAGCGTGATGTGAATGGGCGGCAGGAGGGTCCCTGACCTGGCCTCCCAGAGGTTTCTGGATCTGGTTTGGCACCCCCTGCCCCAGGCTGAGGCATTGCAGCACCCACATCATTCTTGTAAGGGGCCAAGAGCACAGGGAAGGGGAAGGGGGGACAGCAGATCTTGACTCTGCCCTGCCCTCTTCCCTCCCTCCTCCACGTGCAGCAGAACTGAGCCCCCCACCTGGAGGAGGGATGCTCCTAGGTGTGACTGGCAGTGCCTGGCAGCCCCAGCAAGGACAGCCAGTGGACAGGGCCCGCCAGGCCACATCTCCCTTGCTGATCACATCGTAGGCCTGCTTGTCTGGAGGACAGAGGCAGGGGGAGGAGGTGTGGGCGCCCGGGGCTTTCCTAGCCGAATCTCAGCAGGGAATGCAAATTTTTTTTTCAACTGCAGCTCTGCATTGCCCATTTCCATCCTGCTCTGCCCATCCCCCCCCCCTTCCAGGATTTCCCAGCCTTATTTACATCTATAAGCAGGTTCCTATTTTCTCTTTCCTGAGGTCATGGCCCTGCTCACTGTCATCCCTATTGATCTTCCCTCTGTGTTTCTGTTTGAAATGTCAAGGTCATCTTTAATTCTGAGCCAGTTGTTGGATGCCCCGTCTGGGTGCACAGAGGGGATGAGGACCATCTCACAGCTCGTAACGGGACGGCTGGAACTTGGGTGTCCTGGCCGCTAATCAGGTGCTCTTCCTGCTGTATTTCTAGGTAGATGGATCCTGGG